TTCGTGTAGTAGATAATGTAGGTTATTAAAACGAAACATGACGTCAGGTGACCAAAAATTTCCCACAACGAAATGTAAAGCATTATTCTTTTATTTTTGTAGGCGAGTTTTCAACCGTTTAAAACGATTTAATTGAGGTTTAAAACGACAACATTTTATTCAAAACGTTTCAAATCGGTTGTTTTACATTTATATCTACAACTCACATGCAATATCTATGGAGCATCATTCTCAGTTATTCACCGAAGATTGATGGTTGCCTAGTTACATAGTAGGGAGTGTCAACAGACATTACATTTTTTATAACTTCATAGCACAGCCATGCGTCACGTGACCGCTACCACTCGTGTCGCCATCGCCACCGCCGGCTTACGTTGCCATTCTGTTTATGTCTACAATAAAAAAAAACCGGTCAGGTACGATTCGAACTCGTGCGCCGAGGGTTCCGTACCTACCCAGATTTTACGCACATTTTCGCGAAAATTTGTGAGTACCAAAATGTATCTTAATTTTCAACTTTTTTTATTTTTTGGAAGTATTCTTTTATTTGTGCTGACCTTTCCTTTTGCCAAATTTCGTGATTGTAGGTCAACGGGAACTACCATATAGGTTTTCGACCCAAAACCTATTGGGTACTTCCGGTTGACCTAGAATTGTCGATTTTGGTTCAAAGCAAGGTCTTACAGCACAAGTAAAGAGAAATTTCTGAAAAATAACTAATAACTGAAAAATTGGCCTATATCTTTTTATCGTGTTGACTCAGGACCTTGATTTTTATACACCTAATAGGGGCCATAGACCTCACTATCTGGTATAAATTTCAACTTGCTAGGTCTACTCGTTCCTGAGAACATTGGATGGACAAGAAAGTGATCTTATAAGGGTTCCTTTTTTACCTTTTAAGATACGGAACCCTAAAAACTAATAAATATTTTGTCTAAATGCTGGTGTTTCAGTTGGATACTTTCCTACAAATGAAATAAATTATTTTAGTCATGTTAGTTGATAAAACATCCCAAAATAATACTAGTTTCATTCATTAATTCACGTTAAAGCTATATTTCATATTATAGTGAAACCGCCGTAAGCTTGGCCCTCCCGCTGGCTTGCGGGATGCGGGGCCGTGTTAATGCGTCGCTGTCCGGCCTTATTTTGCAACATGGATAATCTGCCGACTCTGCGTCACAAAAAGATTAAAAAACATTTGGATTCATTTTATTTTTTTAATAAACGTTTCCTTTTGTTTTTATTTTAAGTTACTCGATTAATATACAGCAGAAGTTGTGGTTTGTTCTTGTGGTGACGGATTAAGAATACGGAGTATCACCACCCCTATTCAACGTGTTGGTATCGTAAGAGCCGACTAAGGGAGCAAATTACGCAGGACAACAGCACTGCAAAGAGAAGAAAAACTTGAAACAAAACTTATACCAACCCTATATATTAAGCCTACCAATGAGTACTTTGTCAACAATATTTAAAAACGAATCAAATATCATAAAGGAAATTGAAAATGATCAAAGGAAGTACCTAAACATTTATAAATCGAATATTTCCTAACAAAATCCGCATAAGCCGAATACCTCCGTAAGTCGAATTATTTGGCGTCTCCCTTTAAGTTCGTCTCACAGAGGTTCTACTGTTAAATTAAAAAAAAAAGAATATTTATTATTTTCCTTGTTTTTTTTTATTGTATCTGAATATAATTTACATGATAAAGATAAGATGATAAAATTATTTTACAAGTATTCAAATTTTACAATTGATTATAAAAACTTACAATATACTGACATTATAATACATGGAAATAAATTTGATTTTTATTACATCATGTGTAGATTAAATTTCAAACAAATAAATCTGAAGATATCTCTTCAGTAGATCGTGTCGTGTATAGCCGAGCGCATCACCCTCCCCGCGTTCCGCAAACCATCGGGAGGGCCAAGCTTATTGTTGGAGTGCGATGTGACATCACTGACACTCGTCTATGATTAACTGTGGTTACCTTTATTATTGTCGATGCTGTTTCCTCCCTTGCAATATGGAGTCCGCAGAATGTAAGCGTATATAAGTTGTTTCCTATAATAAAAGGCTTCTCAAATATATACACTGTCTTTCCCTGGTGTCCCATATGACCTAAACATATAGGTTATGGGCGCAGATAAGAAATCGTGAGTAGATTAAATTAAAGTTTCGTTTGGTTCAAGTAAGACGCGGTGAAGCAAAGGTTGGAGCCTTACGCGACACTTGGTTCGAGCAAACAAACAAAAGTTATTGGCGTATCTTGCATTGCGTAGTTAAATAAAACAACATGTCAAATTCGGAGTGTAGAACGATCCTTCTAAATGGTCGGAATTGGCAAGCGTGGCGTTTTCAAACTATGATAGTTCTTCGCGGGAAAAGTTGTTAGAAATCATACAAGGCACAGAAGCGAAGCCTAAAGTAAAAAGCAAAGCACAAGATTCATGGGATGAAAGAGAAATTAAAGCCCAAGAGCTCATAGTCACCAGGGTGGAAGAGACAGTAATGAGATATTTAATATCGTGTACTAGTAGTGCGGATATGTGGAAAAAACTGACCACGATATATGAACCATCTACAAAGGTCGGTGTTCATCTGTTACAACAGAAGTTCTTCAACTTAAAATATGAGGATCCCATAGCTGTGTTTATAGCCAACGTTGAAGAGTGTGTGACCCAGCTAATAGCAACAGGTGAGCAGGTGTCAGAAAATATGGTCATTACCAAGATACTTATTTCACTACCAGATAAATACAAGCATTTCATCTCTGCCTGGGAGAGTATGCCAGAAGAGAAGCAGAAACTGCAGGAGCTGACAGGCCGGTTGCTAGTCGAGGAGGAGCGGAGTGTTATTGGTGCCACCAGCAGCATCAGCAGTACACCGCAGGATTCAGCACAAGTGGCTGGTATGCGAAATAAAGTAAAATGTTTTGAGTGTGGTAAAGTCGGCCATAAAATAAGTGAGAGAGAGTGATAAAATTGTATGTTTGAAATATGTACCATCAGAAGATCAGCTTGCTGATCTATGTACTAAGGGATTAAGTACAGTTGCTTTTGTTAAATTGAGGGACAGGTTGTTTTCTTAAGAGTATTTAATTAATATTTCATTTTATTTATTTAAAAATTTGAAAAGAACAGTTAGTTTTCGGATTTTGATTAGAGTTGAGGTTATAGTGTTCTGTGAACTTGAGAGTTTAGTTAAGTACCTAGTTATAGTTAAAATTTGTATTGCAAGATTGTAAAGAGTTGTTTTTGTAAGTGATGTTTACATTGAGGAAGGGTGTTGGAGTGCAATGTCACATCACTGACATTCGTCTGTGATTACCTGTGGTTACCTTTATTATTGTCGATGCTGTTTCCTCCCTTGCAATATGGAGTCCGCAGAATATAAGCGTATATAAGTTGTTTCCTGTTGTATAAAGGTTCTCTTGTGGGTTCTGGGCAACAATAAACACCATTAATATTTTTTACCAGTATTTTATTAATATGATATTGTAGTGATTCGGCGCGCGAATTTTACAATGAGCTGTGTGACATCTGTGAGTCAGAACGAAGGCGACCGGATCCGGATACAGATAACATAAGATTATAACAGTTTCCCCCCCCTTAAAATAAAACCCCTTAAAATTTAAGAAAATCTAAGTTAGTGCTCATAACTATAATTCAAGTCTTACAACAGGTTTCTTGATTCTGCTACTTCTACGTACCCCTGGGTGATTAGGAACGTCACGTATATGAGTATTATTACCAACCGAAGTCGATGTAGTAGTAGCAGCATCACTAGTGATTGTATAAGGAATATCCTGAGGATTAGAAACATCATGAGAAATATCAGCCGTCAGGCCTGGGCCATGTTCCGTTTTATTATCTTTAACTTCCGAGGAAACTGTATCACTCAAACCCGGAGAATTCAAAACTTTTTCTGAATTATTGTCTTAGACCCAGTCCTGAGATATACAATCATAATCTCGTACCAATCTAACATTTTCTCCAATCTTTCTCAACTGATCAATGTGCCTACGCCATAGTAAGCCATTATCCATTATTATCTCATAATGTAAAGAGCCTAGGACCCTATTGATTTTACCAAATTTCCACCTCTCTTGGCCAGAGTAGTTGCGAGCAATTACACGATCACCGACATGTAGTGTTCTCGCTTTTTCTACATCATTGTTAGACTGCCGGCACATTGCTGACAAATTTGATTTAACACAAAAATTGAATATTAATTCGCTAGAAGTTTTCCCAGTGGCTGTGTGGGGCATTATTCGGTATTGAAATAAAATTTGATTTAGACATTTCTGCATTTTATTCTTGTTAGCTCTAAGACACCTTAACTTATTTTTTATTATTTGTACATAACGCTCAGCCTGGCCGTTTGTGGCTGGATTGTACGGAGCTGACCGTTTGTGTATTATGTTGTGACATTTTAAATATTCCTGAAATTTTGGATTCACAAATTGAGAACCATTATCACTTACTAACACATCTGGATAGCCAAAAGTAGAAAAAATTCGCTCCCATACCTCTAATGTGGACTCTGTATCAACCTTATTCATTATGTGTACTTCTGGCCATTTTGAGTATGCATCAACCAGTACAAAAAAATACACCCCCAAAAACTGACCAGCAAAATCAACGTGAACTCGTTCAAAAGGTCTGGAAGGAAACTCCCAAAAATGTTTGGGTGCAACAGGTGAAGGTTTATTTTGATTAAGACAGACAGTTATTGAAAATGTTCCGTACATCTTGGTCTATGCCAGGCCACCAACAGTAGCAGCGTGCCAAAGCTAACATTTTGCTTGTGCCAAAATGAGCGGAATGGAGGTAATTCAAAACCACCTGTCTAAACCTTTCAGGCACAAGGACACGTGAACCTCTCAAGATGCAATCTTTATATAAACTAAACTCAGATTGATCTATTCCGAACCTTTCCAAATGGGCAATTTTCTTACCAGATTTTAACCCAAATAACAAACGTTAGAGCGTTGGGTCCTCAAGAGTCGCTTGTGAAATGTCGTGTTCAGTAACCGGCAGAACATTCATTAGGCTCATTTGAAAAATGTCAGCTTCCTCTACAGAAATACGTTCTTCGTCAAATGCTGCCAAACGGGATAGCGCATCCGCGTTCGCATTTGCTTTAGAAGTTTTATATCTAATACTATAATTAAAACCCTGCAAGAAAATTGCATAATGTTGCATACGGGCTGCCGATAGGTGAGTTAGTGCTTTTGATGGTGAAAAAATATAGTAAATAAAATAAACTTGCGACCATACAAAAATTGGAAGAACCGTTTTACACCAAACACGATTGAATAGGCTTCCTTGTCTATCTGCGCCCACTTCCGTTGAGTGGTGTTTAATGTTTGCGATCTAAACATAACTGGACGCTCTGTACTATCGGGCATTATGTGTGAGAGTACCGCTCCCACCCCCGTCGGCGATGCGTCCGTGGCCACAATCAAGGGTAAATCAGGTGAGTAGTGCGCAAGTACAGTGTCTGACATCATGTGCTCTTTAATTTTTTTTAATGATTTTTCACAATTATCTGTCCATACCCACTCCTTCCCTTTACGCAACAATTCATGCAAAGGTTCTAGAATGTCACTTAAATTTGGAATGAAACGCCCATAGTAATTAACTAAACCAAGTAAAGCCTGCAATTCTGATACACTTTTAGGTGTGAGAGCCTTTACAACACTTTTTATTTTCTGATCTGCCTTGTGTAGGCCTCTCTTGCTGATTTTATAACCGCAATATTCTATCTCATCCCTCATGAATTCTGATTTTTCCAAATTTATCTTTAACTTTCTAAGTCTAACCTTCCTAAGTGTTCTTTGTCCGAGGATCCAGTTACTCTAATATCATCAATGAAACAGTGTACCCCTGGAATGCCAGCTAAAATATTTTCAATTTTTCGTTGCCATTTTGCAGGTGCACAATTAAGACCAAACATGAGACGTGTACACTTATACAAACCTTTATGTGTATTCAAGGTGAGTAAATTTTGATCTTCATCTCTTCATCAACAGCCTTTAATAGTCCACTGCTGGACATAAGCCTCTCCTTAGAAAGGAGGTTTTGGCCTACTATATCTTCATCTCTTACCTTCCAATTTAAATAAGCATTTTTCAAGTCAATTTTGGAATATTTTTCACCCCCTGCGAGACCATTAAATAATTCTTCGGAAGTTGGCAACGGATGCTCATCAACAATCAGCTGCTGGTTCAAAGTAAGTTTGTAATCTCCACATAATCTTATTTTTCCATTTGCCTTCACTACTGGCACTACTGGTGTTGCATATTCTGAATAATCTACTTTAATTAATACCCCATCTTTTACTAAAGTGTCTATTTCCTGTTCAACTTTTTCTTTAATCGCAAAAGGTACAGGCCTAGCTCGGTAAAATATTGGTTTAGAGTCAGGTTTCAAATGTAAAGCCACTGGGTCAACTTTTATTTCACCTAAACCATTATCACGGAAAAGTTTGCTATGTTTGTCTAACAATGATTGCAATGAAAGCGAAACAGTACCTGTGTCGATGCTGTGAACTGGTGCTAAACAGTCTCCAAAACTGGTCCATTTGAATGCTCGAATCCACTCCCGGCCAAGTAGTGGAAGCCTACTACCTTCAACTACATATAGGTTTAGGTTTTCACATTTCTCTGTTCCCACTGATGCAGTGACCTTAATTAGACTTAAAACATGTAAATAATGGTTAGAATAAGTACACAATTTTACATTTGTCTTAATTAAGGTTAGTTCAGGCAACATTTTAGTACGGGGTGCTATGCTAGAAAACCTCCCCGTGGTGCACCCTGGAAACGCTGGCGATGGCACTGTTTCCTCCTTGTCCTCTTGGAGGAGAGGATTATCGCCAGCGGCTAATATTCTAGCAGAAGAGGAAGCCGTTTATCGGCTCTCGGGCAAGGCCTGGTCCAGCAGGGTGGGCGTGTCTGCCGGTTGCCCTGCTGGCTCTTCGCTCTTCGGAGCATGGAGGAGGAAACCTCGGTAAAAAAGCAGAAGGTGGGGCCCTGTAGGGGCCAATTTCTCCGCTGGTAGCGGTGGAGAAAGGAGGACGGGCTCGGCGTGTACTTACACTACCACCGAGCAGGCAGGGGGACGTAGTCTCCTTGTCACCGTCGGCATATCGTAATCCCGAGAAGAGCGCTGTGGTCAAGTCAAGTCAAGATCGGGGACGAGGGTCTTGGCTTAACCGCCCGGACCGCGAGGAAGAAAACCTCTCTACAAAATTCCCCGAATCCCGTGTTCTGGTGCGTGGCCAGGGGATGCATGGCTGATGGGTAGTTCAGTCGTAAGCGCACTCCCAGCCGGGGCACTTGTGGACCCCTCGGTTGGGCATAAATTTACGCTTACCCGGGTATTGGGGGATCTCTGCCCGGGTTGACCTTTAGTTCTCCCCCACTCGTGGGTATAACATGGAAAATGATAATGGAAATAAAAGTAAAGGATCGATAAATACAACAACAAAAAAGGCGAGCACAACGGAAAGAAGAAGAAGACTGGTGGAGTGGATCTGTCGTCCACACCCACAAGTGAGGTAGTGTCTGGAGCGCCTATCTCGATGGGGCTCCCAGTAGTAGTCTGTAGTAGATTGACTGCTGGGAGCCGAAGAACATCGGAGCGTCTTCGTTCCCGGTCCGCGGCTTCATCAGATGGTGGCTCCGGTGTGTCGATTGACGCACTGGACGCTATGGATGTTGAATTCCGCGACACTGGGAGTCGCAAGCGTGGACGCTCCGGAGAGGAGGGTGTAGACATGCTGCCACCTAAGGTGGCCGGCAGCCAGCGAGGACGGTCGCGAACGCCGATCGTGAGGTCGCGTGCCCCTGTCCCCATCCCGTCGGGCTCCGCCTTCTCTGGGGCGGAGTCTTATAGGCGTGTCCGAGCGGACGGCGAAGCCGTAGCGGAGGAGGAGATCGCGGATCTCCTGCTCAAGATTCGGGAGCCGGTGGAGGGAGATGCCCCCCGGGCTCCCGTGTCTGTGCAGGAGAGGGCGAGAGCGGCGGTGGCTATCATCCACAAGGTAGCCACCAAGTCGGTAAACCTAAAGGGCTCTTTTGTGGCCTCCGCTGTGTCGGAGGTCGTGGAGGGCCTAGTAGGCGACGTGTCTCGCCTACAGATGGCCAATGACAGGCTGACGGAGCAGGTGAACGAGCTGAGCGCTCAGTTCGCCCGCTTCCGGGCGAACCTCCCCGAGCGGGGGGGCCCCATCCACGCCCCAGCCTGTCCCTGCCGCGACCTCAGGGGTGCCTGACGCCCAACTGCGGTCAATTCTTGACGCAGTTGGGCGTATGCTGGACGGCCGACTGGCCGGTCTGGAGGCGCGACTGCCCCCTGCGCCGGTCGTGCGCCCCCCGCTCGCGTCGTCGCAGCGGCCTAAGGCCGCTGCTCCGACTGCGCTCCCCGTAGTGGGAGGCCGCGTGTCCTACGAGGCGGCGGCGTCGGCCCCGACTCCACCGGAACCCCAGGGGCCGAGGAAGGGGGCCAAGGCACCGGCCCGGGTGCCAGCCAAGGCGCCGACCCAGGCACCGGCCAAGGCGCCGGCCCAGGTGCCGGCCAAGACGGGGCCTAAAGCGGCGCCGAGGAGTGCAGCGGAGTTCCCTCCGCTCCTAACTCCGACATCCCTGCCGAGCCCCTCCGCACTTGCCCCCTCCAACGAGGGTTGGCAGGAGGCGAGGGGCTCAAAGAAGTCCCGAAGGCGGGCTAGAAGGGCTGCTCAGAAAGCAGCCCAAGCCCAGCCTTCGCTACCGGTGGCAACGGCCTCAAAAAAGAGGCCGCGGGAGCTGCAGCCGCCCAAAACCGCGGCTGTGGTAGTGACGCTGTCGCCGGAGGCGGCCAGTGGCGGGCTCTCGTATGCGGCCCTCTTCAAGGGGGCCAGGCCCGGTCTCGCCACTGAGTTCGGGGCGGCGGGGATGAGGCTGCGCCGCGCCCAGACGGGAGCTCGAGTATTCGAGTTCCCTGGGGCTGAAGGCGGGGCGACGGCCGATAAATTCGCCGAGAAGCTGCGGGGGATTTTTGCCACCACGGACGGTGTGAAGATCGCCAGGCCCACCAAATGCGCAGAACTGCGCATCTCGGGCCTGGACGACTCCATCACGTCGGAGGATGTCCGCGATGCAGTCATGGAGAAGACTGGGTGCACCGCGGACACCATCAGAGTCGGCACCGTCCGTCCGGGTCCGGGAGGCCTCGGTGCGGTGTGGGTGAGCTGTCCCGTGGCGTCGGCCAAAGCGTTGGGCGACGCCGGAAGCATTCTCGTCGGCTTCGTGAATGCCAGAATCACGGTTCTGGCCGCGAGGCCGATGAGGCCGATGCTTCAAGTGCCTAGCCGCGGGACACACTCGCACCAAGTGCGAGAGCTGTTTTGACTGCAGCGGATTATGCTTCCGCTGCGGTCAACCCGGGCACAAGGCGGCAGAGTGCTCTGCCGCCCCTCACTGCCCCGTGTGTGCGGCGGCTAAAAAGCCCGCCAATCACCAGATGGGGCAGGGGGGCTGCAAGCCTCCCCGCGCTTCTCGGCAAACGCCGGGGGCTAGCCTGCCGACCCAGGCTACCCCCGACGTCAATATTGCGTCGACGCCGACGCCCATGGAGGAGATTGTAGAGACGATCCAGTAATGGATCACGTCTCCAACCTCCTGGTCCAGACGAATCTGAACCACTGTGCTGCAGCGCAGGATCTCTTCCTGCAAACCATGGCACAGTGGTCGATAGGTGTTGCCGTAGTCGCGGAGCCCTATTTTGTCCCTCCCCGTCCAAACTGGATGGGTGACCGGGACGGCTCCGTGGCAGTCGTCGGCTCCACGGCGGCTCATTCCCCGCCCTTGTCGCTAAGAGACAAGGGTACTGGATATGTTGCCGCCGATTGGGGGGGAATCACCATTTATGGTGTATATTTCTCCCCCAACCGGAGTTTGAACGACTTCGAGGTCTTCCTTAACAACTTGGAGGCCTCGATGCGGCGGCTAGTGTCTGGGCACGTCCTCGTGCTGGGGGACTTCAACGCAAAGTCCATTGCGTGGGGTTCCCCTGCGACGGACGCCAGGGGCGAAGCCGTCGAGGAGTGGGCGGCGTCGGTGGGCCTCTGTTTGCTGAACAGAGGCCTTCACCAACACGTACGTGCGACAGCAGGGGGGGTCGATAGTGGACCTTTCGTTCGCTACCCCTGCAGTCGCCGCACGAGTAAGGAACTGGTGTCTCCTGGAAGAGGTCGAGACGCTCTCGGATCATTTGTACACCCGATTCAAGCTCTCCCGGTCCCAGGACCCCAGTAGGGGTCACGCGGAGCGGCGCCCGTCCCGCTTCCCGCGGTGGGCTGTCGCCAAGCTCGACAGGGACCTACTAAAGGAGGCGGCCATTATTATCTCTTGGCTGTCTCCGCAGGCCCCGACCGAGGAGGTCGACATGGGGGCAGGTCGCTTCTGCGAAGCGATTACGCAGATTTGCGACGCGGCCATGCCCCGTGTTCGTGGTTGTCGGCCTCCAAGGAAGGAGGTCTACTGGTGGTCCCAGGAGTTGGCGGACCTCCGTGCGGCCTGTGTACGTGCCCGGAGGTCCCTCACCCGTAGTCGGCGACGTCACCGCGGGGTCGGTGAGGAGGTGGACAGGCTTCATGAGGAGTACCGAGAAGCTCGGAAAACTCTGAGGCTGGCCATCTGCCGCGCCAAGGATGAGTGTAGAGAGGAGATGCTGGAGAGTCTCGAGCGTGACCCCTGGGGTCGCCCTTATCGTGCGGTGCGTCAAAAGCTCCGCACGTCGGGCCCCCCCCTTACGGAGACTCTCCAGCCCAGCTTCTTGCAGGAAGTGGTCGAGGGCCTATTCCCGCAGCGGGCGGAGCACACGCCCCCGTCGATGGCTGCATCAGCCGGAGACGACGGAGGCAGCGAGGGTGATGTTCCGCCCGTCAGGGAATCGGAGTTGGGGGCGGCTGTTCTACGGATTCGATCCAAGAACACCGCCCCCGGGCCGGACGGGGTTCCAGCCCGAGTGATGGCCCGAGCCCTCGACTACATGTCGGACCACCTCAGGGGGGTGTTGGACGCTAGCCTGGCGTCCGGACGCTTCCCTGAGCGCTGGAAATGCGGGAAGCTGGTCCTGCTGCAGAAGCCGGGACGGCCTGCCGATTCGGTCGCGGCCTATAGGCCTATCGTGTTGCTGGACGAGGCGGGTAAACTTTTTGAGAGGGTGCTCTCTGCCAACATCGTCCGGCACCTTTGCGAGGTTGGCCCCTGCTCGTGTTGCTGTCGGACGCCCAATTCGGTTTCCGAGAGGGGCGTTCGACGATCGATGCCGTAATGCGCCTTAGGGCCGTGACCGAGGAAGCCGTGAGCTGCGGCGGAGTGGTGTTGGCGGTGTCCTTGGACATCGCCACACACACGCACTTTACCACAGTTTACTGATACCAAAAATTTACTACTATCATTATCTTTTGCAGTGTTACTAATTAAACAATTATTCACTAAATATTTTATCTCTGATTCACTCACAAACTGAACAACATCTTGCTCCGATTATATTATATTATATTATATTATATTATATTCTGTCGCAGTAGTTACAAGATGCATTTATCCAAGTACATTTGCTTGCACTGTGATCCCCTCCACAATGACAACATGGTTTCGGAGGAGCACTGTGCACTGAGCTTTTTTTAGCCTGTAAATTGTGTGTAGCTGGCTGCCGTCTCTTCATGTTCATATGAAGGATGTTCACTTCTCTAGTTTTACAACTCTCCACCTGGCTCACCTCCATTCATATTGTGGCGAGTAGGCGAGTAGGCGAGTAACCCCTATGCGTTAGGACGTAGCACTAGATCATACGATCTACGTCACATATGGCGTGATGTTCTCGACATGTAGGGGATAAGTACAGTAAGCCCCGCCTACAGCAAGATGACCGCCCATTTGCTATTATACTACCAGCGCGCGCGCAATATGGTCGACGCACATCTTTTGTTGTACGGCATACGCCCACGTTCAAAAAGTGCCAGGACCGAACCTTTTCTATGTTTATTATTATTAACTATTTTCGTGTATAAATACTGTGTCGCATTGTGTGAGAAACCATTCCGACTTTTGTTATCGTCTTGGTACAAAAATAAAGAATTGTTTACGTGTTGCTCAAGTCCTTTGATTATTGATAACAAGCCGATACTAAGCAAATATCCTTCGCTTCGCTAGTATTATAAAGTTATTACAAACAACTGAATTAGGATAACAAGCTGTTAACAGTCCAGTGGTTCGGACGTCGACTGCACTGAGATAGAAGGGAGTTCGATTCCAACCTAATTCACTTCAATATTGCAAAGTCAAACGCTGTTTGTAAATTTGAATTTCTTGTCTCTAGTAACCTGTCCTTGATCTTCTGCCTGTGATGGATAGCGAAATATTCTGCAATCTCCAACGGGACTGGATCAATATAACATAAGATTATAACATTTCCTATAATAAAAGTCTTCTCAAATATATATACTGTCTTTCCCTGGTGTCCCATATGACCTAAACCAATACTTATGGCGGTTTGACTATTCGCTATGTGCACGACAGTAGCGCCACCTAGAATGCGCAACTTTCCGGGATTATGCCAAATAATGACATATCAGTATTTTATTGCTTTCTAGTAAATATAGTAAATTAAAGATAAATAAAAAGACGACAAGTGGTATTTTTAAAGGAATTTGTTAAAACAGTGCATAAAATAATGGATATCATTATAAAAACTTGTTTTGAAAGTGTAAAACACAATATTATTTTCCAACCTCAAACTGTGTTGAAAGGAGAAAAATTAGTTGTGACACAACATGTAAGAAACATTGAAGAGCTACGAAAGAATGGCAATAGTTATTTAATACTAGCCCACATAATTCCTCAAACATCGGTGACATTAACGCCCTATGTAACAAGTTTAAACGTAAGTACTCTCATAACCTTAAACGTAATAAAACACAGAGTCTGTGCGACGGTCACGACGGTTCTCTTTCCGCACAGACTATAATATTTTATGGTAGGTAACGTATCTACTTTAATTAACAATTATAGTTTATTTATTACAGATCAATGATTCTCGTGTTGTCACTGGAGTAAAATTCAAAGAAAATCCAAAGAAAGTTGATTGTGCTGCAACCCGGTATGGCTAATGTAATCAACAGAAAGCTATATTACTTTATGAAAAATTGAATTTCTGTCAAGTAAAAAAAGTAGGTGCAATTATTAGCAAAGATCAACCATTGCTATACGCTAGTATTAATGGTGTAGTGGTGGAAGATGGTTGTGTGACAAAGCTAGTCGAAGTTAAATGTCCAATTTCATGTGAAAAAAAACCTGTGGTTAATTTTGATAATCATTTGTACAATGTTGTGTACTTAGAGTTTAGTAATATTTTATTGAAGTTAAGAAAAGCCATCGATACTACACTCAAGTATAAACATAGATCCATGTTACTGGAATGACAATGTGTGACCTTTTTGTCTGTTCACCAATAAGAAATGCTAGTGTGACAGTACAAGTTAACCGAGATGAACAATTCATTCAAGAAATTCTTTTGAAAAGTGAATGGTTAATGAATGGTTATTTTAAGCATTATTTACCAGCATTGTGCACAGAGTGTATGCATAATAATAATAATTGTAATGATTTCCAAGAACATTCTTTTATTGGGAAAGATATTTCAAATTTATTTTAATGACATATTTATATCGTAAAACATATCTAAACTAATTTAGTGATTAAATTAGTATAGTTATTTAACTAACCGACTTCAAAAAAGAGGAGGTTACTCTTTCTTTGTTGGAAAGGAGATATTCCCAGAGTGGTCCCATGATAAGGAAGCCAGGATCTAAAATCGTAGGCGCGACTAGTGCGTTTGTTAGTTTACTGATTGAAGTCGGTTTTTTTTTGTTAAAAATGATCTTGTATCAGTATGAGTTATTGTAACTAGGTACATTTAAAAAAATGCTATCATTGTTTCAGAAAATAAAGAGTTCTGGTTTGAATACTTTTGTTTTTATTTACCTTTTACAACAGTACTACAGTACTACAGATTGGAGGCTGTAAATTAACTAAAACACAACATACGTGTACAATATCATCTATACAGTCGAATAAATTATGAGCAATTTTGTCAAGAACCCGGTAAATTCTTAGTCTTTGCATAATTCTTTCGACATGAATTCTAACCCGAGCTATATCATATGTCCTTTGGGTTTCTTCTTAAGATAATTCATTTTTATTTGCTAAAAACCGTGACATTACAATTTTAACTTCCTTGCCACTTTCATCTATAACTTTTTTTAGTGCAGGAACACCTTTATCAGCCAAAACTATATCTCCAGTTTCTAAAAGATCAACTAATCTAGATTCAATAGTCATTGGTGAGTCAGTTTTTCTTCCACCAGCTACTTTAGATTTCAAAGAAATAAATCCTCCAGGTGTAATTCCTATTATAACTTTTGCAGTAAACCCTTTTTTATAATGTGAGTAACAAACAACATGATCATCCACTGCTGTCGGTATTTCAATTCGGAATTCAGTACAGTCAATAATAACTCTTGTATTGATGTAATCTGGACTGAAACACTTGGGCATTGTTGCTTGTACGGTGGCTCTATTCGGCCAAAAGATTAAATTAGCAGTTGCACAAGCGAGATTTTGTAAGATCGAATGAAATATTCGTTAGATTGTAGTTTTGTGTACACTAAATAACACACTCAATGCTGAAAATGTCAAGCCAGTTTTCATTTTTATCAAAAAAATCTGAAGTCGGTCTTTAGTGGAAATTGTACATTTTTTCATAGTTAATCTTATTAATAAAAACTCAAAATTGCTAAATGACACACCAGTAAGATCTAGGAGTTCTTGGTCTTTTTTTATTTATGAAATACCAAGAAATTCTTGGTACGACTTGCATGCCGGCTGATTCGACAATCTGAAGAAGTTTACTGGAACGTAAGGATTGTTGGGTAAGGTTAGTGTTGAAATCTCCCATGATGACATGATGTGCGTATTCTGACCCTAAAGATTCCAGGACTGTTTCCAGACTGGAGAAGTATTCAATAGATGGAGGACAATAAACAACACCAATAACCATTTTGGTTCCTTTGATACAGACCTCGCGGAAAAGGTACTCTGCATCGGCAGAGTAGGGGGCGGGAGAAGAAACTAGAATTTTGTAAGGTAGAAAACAGTGAATGTAAATGGCTACCCCGCCGCCCCTCCTGCCGATTCGGTCGTTTCGGACAGGAATGTAGTCCGGGAGAGGATAAGATGTGGAAGCAAGATTGGGTTTAAGCCAACTCTCCGAGATCAGGACGGCGTGGACATTTGTATCAGCGAAAGCTTCAGTCAAGTCCCCAAAATGACTAGGTATGTTCTGGGCATTTATGTGGCACACATTAAGCAGGTGCTTCGATTGCTGGATGAGTGTGTTTCGCAAGCGGTCCCCTAATGTGTCAGGTAAAGAAGCAAAACTGTCATCATCAGTAGAAACCGCAGAATCATAGGCAGAATTATCAGAGTCATCCTTATCAGCTTTCATCGACATTATGAAAATATATGAATTATGAGAATATACTACAGATAAATAATATATTTACAAATATATATATACTGTGATATCTAAAAATATTTATATACTAATCTATTAACACCCTTTACTAAGCGGCTTAAGTTTTCTCAGCACCACCCACCAGCGAACACTACATGTTACAAAAACAATAATAGAAAACACATGATTAACACAGACTAAAGATAGCAGCACAGAAAAAAATAAAAGAGTAAGCGTGTAACGAAACGTTAGACATTAAATGAGGACAAAATACATGTACATATCCGAACGCAGCTCGCTGAACCAGATGTCACTTTGACAGTGTCACGTTTGTTTACGATCGAAACTAACATTATAAAATACAAAACGCGTACAAAATAATTTAAAATTTGTGGCTGAATTAGTGAACAAAATGGTAACTATCACAATATATTAAATAATAAAATAATAATATATTAATTAATTTTATCCAAACATTGCTCATTCTAAATTAGTATGCTACCCGAAAGTTCTTACACACGTAAATCTTACCGTAGCGGATCCATACAAACTTATAGGATTTTTCTTTGGCCTTAATACGGGCAGCAGCATGTAAAGCTTTATACACCGGCGAAAGGTATTCAGACACGTAGATCGGCTGTGTGCCTCCTCCATAGCCCAATAAAGATGTATTTAATCTGTTGTCCATGTGAGACTTATTGTATTTGGTGATTGCTGAGTACAGTTCATCACGACATCTAGGACTGCGTATCTAGTATCACAGTGCGTGGACGAGTCTTGTTACCGCTCATACTGGCCACTCTAACGCACTTCATGATATCACAGTCATTCAGTGGGTAAGATACAACTTTAGATAACTGTGTTCAAGCGCCTATCAAAATACTACTGGTAGCGCATAAAAGGAGCGAGTGTTGTTGGATCTTGATAGGCTTCTTATATATTTGTAAAAACTGTATGTCATTTTTATTACACGTAGACTTCTGACATTAGAAACAAGTCCAGTTGTTTAATTTTCGTAATTATCCCAAATCTTCCCCAAAACATGGTCCTACGAGCTGGATGCTGGATAAATCTTAGAATCAATCTTAGAATTCGATATAAAAAGTATCAAAATTCACTAGATGCTATATATTTAAAAGATCTTGCCAAACAATGTGATAGGTTGTCCAGTGAATGTTATAAAAAGTATATTAACGTTTTAGAGGAGGAACTGAGGAATAATCCGAGACTGTTTTGGACTCATGTAAAGACTAAAAGAGGAGGGACGAGCGCATACCCAGTAACTATGACTTGGGGTTAAAACCACTTCAAATGGTACCGAAGTATGCAAGCTCTTTGCCAATTACTTTTCTTCCGTTTACAATCACTGGAAAGCTATAGCACATGTTTAAATAAACCAGTTTTGGATGACGAAACAATTTTAAGAAAGCTACAGACTCTAGATATCACTAAAGGTGCGGGTTCAGACGGTATTTCACCAATATTTATTGTAGCGTGTTCTAACGAGTTAGTACGTCCGCTCTCACTCATCTTTCATAAATCTTTAGCTACTGGTGAATTTCTTTGCTAATTGGTGAGTTATTTATAAAACGGATTGCAATGCAACTAATTGTGTAAATGTATCTAATTACAGGCCTATTTCCATATTATCAGCATTTTCCAAAGTTTTCGAATCATTATTATATCCTTATATTCAAAATCTTTTAAAAGTATATTTAAGCGACCATCAACATGGGTTTGTGGAACGGAGATCCACTGAATCAAATTTAGTTCCCTTTACCGAATTGTTAAGTAACGCCATAGACACTGGTCACCAAGCCGACGTGATTTATACTGATTTTAATAAGGCGTACGATAAAGTTTCCCATAGCATTTTAATTTCTAAATTACGAGCGTATGGAATTACTGTCTCTTTGCTTGATTGGTTGAGATAGACACTTTTTTGTTGTAGTTAATGGCTTTGAATCAGAATTACAGAGAATTACTTCGGGCGTTCCGCAGGGTTCACATCTAGGACCAGTTCTTTTCAATTATTTTATAAATGACGTCACAACCTGTTTTCAACACTCCGATGTGTTTATGTTCGCAGATGATTTAAAATTCGTTAGATTGATAAAATCGGAAGATGATTCTAAGCTTCTGCAAAGTGACATTAATAGACTCATTCTGTGGTGCAACAATAATGGAATGCACCTTAATTCTAAAAAGTGTTATCATCTAAAATTTTCAAGAAAACACAACCTAGCATTGTGTCATTACTTTATCAACAATGATAAAATTAATGAAGTGGAACATATTCGTGACTTGGGTGTAACATTCGATAGAAAATTGACGTTTGTACCACATATGGACAATATTATTAAAAAAGCTTCAAGGATGTCGGGTTTTGTATTAAGAAATTGCAAAGCATTTCGAAATAATAGAACTAAAATATTACTTTACAACAGCCTTGTCCGTAGTATATTAGAGTATTGTGGAGTAGTCTGGCGTCCGCATTACGCCACTCATTCGCTGCGTATTGAACGTATCCAAAAACGCTTCGTTTGGCACCTTGCTTTTTCGAATGGTGTGGCTAAGAAAATACGTTCATACAAAGGTCGGCTTAAATACTTTCAAATGCGTTCCCTAGCAGGTCGTAGACTTCTCAATGATGTAGTGTTTGCCTGTAAAGTATTTGCATCTAAGATAGACTGTCCACAACTTCTGGCTAGGATGCCGCGCTATTCTATTACACCACTTGTTGCACCACTTAAAAGGACTGTTCTAGGTGCCAGCTCTCCATGCTCAAGATTGTGTAAATCAATTAATGGGTATAGCAATAAAATCGATCTTCACTTTGACTCTGTGGCAAAAGTTAAATCAACACTTTTGAACTTACCTGATTTTACATAGTGTATCTATTGATAGATTAAACTGGCTGAAATTGTAATTATAAGAATGTCTACATTTACGAATTACATTATATGGCTTACTGTCTGTATTTTTATAATATTTTAAATGCGGTGTTTACCTTTAAGTAATTGTAACATTAAGTTTTGTATTTTCGCATGCAACTAGAATAAGTTTAAATGTTAACAATTGTTGGTAGACCTCAACTAATAAATAAATAAATAAATAAATCGTTATTATTAAGAATTAAAAGGAAGATTGTTAAAATACTTGGGAGAAATTGAAAATAATAAATCGTCGGGTGCAACCTTGAAAAGGTCATTTAGCCGGCGGTGTGGATTGTTCGTATACAAGAAGATTATTGTGGTGTTAAAGTTTATTTCGTAATAATATCGTTACCCAACACTCGAACAGGTAGTATTCACATTTAATGAATGATTTACAAGGTCAGTAAATAATCTATTGTAAATTACCTATGTTATGTACCGTCAGTTATTATTAAATCACATGCCGATTTTTACAACTTTATTATTAGTTAACTGTAATAGTTTATAGCTATTCACAATTAAATAGAATTATATTGTAACAACTACAAGTTATACGGTATAAGTAAGCATACATGGTACATGATTTTATTTAATTGATGTTACAGTCTAATAGTTCATGTGCCGGTAGGCGTTCTTGCACAGTACAATTATTACGAGTAGATATTATTTATAAAACCTCTTTAAAAAATACTCCGAATCCCGTGTTCTGGTGCGTGGCCAGGGGATGCATGGCTGATGGGTAGTTCAGTCGCAAGCGCACTCCCAGGTTCCTTGCGGAACCCTCGATTGGGCACAAATTTACGCTTGCCCGGGTATTGGGGGTCTCTGCCTGGGTCACCTTTAATTTCTCCCCCACTCGTGGGTTTAAATATGGAATCATTAATAACTAACACAAACAAAAAGGAAGAAAAGAAGGCGAAAGATAAGAAGGACAAAAAAAGAAAAGCGGATGACTTTTCGTCTAACGAGGAGGTTTTGGTTGGGACGCCTATCTCGGTAAGGCTCCCACAAGTCAATTTGGCTGCTGGAAGCCGAAGGATATCGAAACGATTACGTTCTAGGTCCGCCATTCCGTCGGATGGAGGTAACTCCATTATGACGATGGACGCATTGGAGTCGATTTAGATGGAGCTCTGCGATAGTAGGAAACGTGGACGCTCCAGGGACGAAGAGAGTGATACGTCCCAGGAGATGCTGCCTCCCAAAGTGGGTAGTAGCCGTAGATGGAGGCCAGGCACGCCAGTCTCGGCCCCGTCAGGCTCTGTCTTCTCTAAGGCGGTAGGTACTTGAATTTATTTGAACAAAAAAGTGATAATGACACCGCCTATCAACACAATTATGCAGAAATGTGTGGGATGCAAAAATGAGATCTCCCAGGAGGAACATTTAATCTGTATGTTATGCAAATCTAAATATGATTTACTAAGTGCGAATGTATCGGTGGCTCGCTTTAAAAATATGGATCAGAACGTAAAAAGTACATGGCGTTGCCCAGAATGTCGTAGCAAACAACCAAAAGCCGACAATACTAACACGCCTATACGTTCTACGACGACGGCCCCCGGAGTTAGAGACGAGTCTGGTCTTGAGTTGGACATGTCTCACAATGTAACGCACCGACGTAAGCCCAGCAAGTCAACAATTATGCCCAGTCCCGTTACACGGACTGGTGCAGACTTGTGTAAGTCTGACTCCTCAGAAACTGAACCAGTCCGAGAATTGAGTCTATTCTTGAAGGAACTGCGCGCAACTCGTATTGAAATGAGCAACCTCAGGAGCTCACTCATTGATTTAACGGGGGCAGTTCAAAAGAGTAATGAACGTATGGATTCACTAGAAATTAGAATTAATGATCTAGAGGGGAAAATAAACAATGAGGATCGTGCGGACATTCGAAATCTGGAAAGGCAAATTGATCAGCTTAAGCTGGACCTACAGGAACGTGAACAAGAATTACTATCTAATGACGTTGAGATAGCGGGTATTCCGGAGACACCGGGGAAGGTATCGTACTTTCTGTAGCCGCAAAGTTGGGCGTTCAACTGGAGGAACGCGACATAGTGGACGCGGTACGAGTGGGAGTGCCGCGCGCCAGTGTCGAGGGCGAGCCTGGTCCACGCCCGCGGAATATTGCAGTACGAGTATCCAGAAGATCTAACCGCGACGCATTGCTGAAGGCCGCCAGGGTCAGGCGTGGAGCTACAACAGCGGGTATGGGACTGATCGGCGCTCCGCGTAAATTTTATGTAAATGAAAGACTTACGAAACTGAATCCGCAGCTATTTGGAAAGGCTCGTGAGTGTGCGGAACGCCTGATTCCGACTTGTCCGGGGTTTTTGGTGACTGTTTTGTTGGTGCAAAATCTTAAAGTGGCTAGTAGCCTTGCCCTATTGTTCGGCCTAAGCATTATAATATTGTGTGGTGTAATTATTGGTTCTCTCAGTTATTGGGCTTTGTATAAATATGAATCTTATTTGAGAACAGTTAACTTTAAAATTATCTGCGATTACAAATGTTTTTGCGATTTTGTTTGTAGATTGTTACGGAACCTGACACTTGAGCTTGCGTTGGACACGCGGTATTGTTTCTGTTATATCAATGCTATCTGTTTAAATTATTCACATTGCATAAATGATTTGTAGTAAGAGAAATAAATTGGTTTTGGGACTGCTAAATGCACGATCGTTAAATACGGGACAAGATGAACTCCTGGCTAGTATTGACTTACATAAACTAGACATTTTGGCTGTAAATGAAACCTGGATTAAACCTGGTGAAGAAAAATTTGCACCCGTAGTGCCGGGCTATGTATTAAAACATAAACCCCGCACTACGGGGGCGCGTGGTGGTAGCGTTGGCTTTTATGTTAGAAAAGGATCACGAGTGCGAGTGAGGCCCCATTCTGACTCTTTACTTGAGCAGTTATGGTTGGAACTCTCTCTGCCTGGCAGGGGACGTCTGGCGATTGGTACAGCTTATAGGCCGGAATCTATCTCAGTGGAAGCTGTTATCGAGGCTCTGAGCGAATCGGTGAGTATGTTTTCATATTGTAAGCATCTTCTTCTTTTGACTGATTTTAATGTTGACTTTCTGCAACCTGATAAACCATCTACTCGTGAGGTACGCAACTTTCTTACACAACACAATTTGGAGATGGTTGTTCGGGACCCTACTCGCATTAGCAGTAGTTCCGCATCACTTATAGACCTGATTATAACTGATTCACCCAGAATGTGCAAGAGTGTTAGTGTTCATCATAATCCGGTTCTCAGTGATCATGCCATGGTAATATTGGAGTTCAATATAGAAAAGTTTAGGGAACCTCCGAGATATATATCTAAATGGTCTTTGCATAAAATTGATCAAGAAAATTTTTGTACCGATCTCAAACATATCTCATGGAATGACATTATGGCGTTGTCGGATGTTGACGATCAAATTCAGCGCTTTAATGAGATGTTGTTGAACCTATTCAATAAACATGCGCCTTTAATACGCTTTAAAATAGGCACACGTCCAACACCTTGGATAACTCAAAATGTAAAATTGATGATGACTTTTCGTGATAAAGCACTGGACAGAGCTCTGAAATCCAATAATGACGCCCACCTAGATTATTATAGGAATTTAAGGAACTATGTAACAGGAACTATAGAGAGAGAAAAAGGAGCTTTTTTTAACTTCTATGTAAATAATAATAAAGACAAGCCTAAACAGATGTGGAATCAGTTGAAGAGTATATGCCCGCTTAGTAGCAGCGGTGACACACTAATGACGGTACCTCATCATCTTTGTGACCCAAACAAAATTAACAACTTTTTTCTGGACGTGCCTGGTAAGGATATTGTTGACACTCAAACATTACAATTTTTTAAACAAAATAAATTTGCAAGAAAACAGTTCGTTATTGAAACAAGTACATCTGATGAGGTTTTAAAAATAATTCAAAGCATTAAAACAAGAGCTTGTGGTCATGATTCCATCACTATTGATATGATACGGTTAACCCTTTTTTTTTTTTTTTTTTTTTTTCCGTGCGGAAATCCCCTCGGATACCACCTGTCGGTGGCATGTCGGACTCGAACCGACTAAAACCGCACGCCTTCGCCGGGTACTAATAGCCGGGGAACCAGGTATACCCTAGAAAGGAAGGCCCTGGTGCCCCGACATACCTCGGGTCATCTACAGACGAGTAGACGACCCCCGCCCCGTGTGGGAACCCCATGTTCCCTGTGCTCCCTGGAAGCGAGCGCGCTTCGCAACGCGCTCGCCGCCACCCCGGCCTGCTTCTGCTAGGGTGACAGATGGCCTCACCTGTCACCCCCAGGCCTGCGCTTATGGAGGACGGAGGTCGTTCTGCGACCTCCGGCGCCTGAGTCGCCTGCGCTGCCTGGCCCGTGCCCGGGCCTGGCGGGCCGGGAGAGTTCTAAACCTCTCCCGGTCCCGCTCCGCCGTCTCCTTCGCGAGCATAACTTGCTCGCAGAAGGAGACGGCAGAGTTCCACGCACTCTCGCTCCGCACGATAGCCGCAATCAGGCTATCGAGCGAGAGAACTCCCACTACGATGGCCGCCACGAGGTCTCGCCTCTGCTCAACCCACGCCGGGCACTCTGCCAGCGTGTGGAGAGCCGTGTCCACGGTCTGGCCATCGCAGTGGTGGCACTCAGGCGTTGGCTCCTTGCGGATCAGACACAGGTGATCTCCGAAACATCCCTTCCCAGTGATCACCTGCGTCAATCGGTATGAGAGGGTCCCGTGACGCCTCTCGAGCCAATCCTCCATAACGGGTCTTACCGCCGCAATGACGGCGTGCCCAGCGCTCGGTTGCCCGAGTCGTTCCCTCCACTCCCCTATGATGACCTGGCGGAGTTGGGATTTCCGGTCATCGATTTCTCGAATCTCGGGGCATCGACCCAACTCCTGCGCCTCCTTGCGCCACTGATACAGTGCCGCAAGGGCTCTCGCCTCCAGGTCCCACGGTGGAGTTCCGGCCAGGAGACTCGCTGCCTCAAAGGAGATCGTGCGGTACCCCCTTATGATCCTGATGGCCAGCATTCGCTGCGGTCGTCGCAGTATCGCGACGTTGCTGGCCTTCAGGGCCCCCGCCCATACCGGGCACCCGTAAAGGGCCATGGACCGCACAACCCCCGAGTAGAGTCTCCTGCAGGAGTCATCGGGTCCCTTCATGTTGGGCAGCAGCCGCGCCAACGCACGCGCTGCCCCAACCAACTTAGGGACCAGACCTCGGAAATGATATCCGAAGTCCCATCGGCCATCGAGTACGAGCCCCAGATACCTGATCGAGGGCTCGATGCCGATGCGAGTGCCTCCTACCGTGAGGCTAGATCCCTCAGGCGGCTTCCTCCGAAGCCCGTGGAAGAACAGGGCCTCGGACTTGTGCAGAGCCACCTCGAGACCCAGCCGCCGGATACACTCAACGACTTGGGCAACTCCGGCCGTGGCCCTCAGGGTTGCCTTGTGGTGCGTCTTGCCGCGCGCCTTCACGAGTGTGTCGTCCGCGTAGCACACGACGGCGACACCATCCAAGAAGGCACCACGAAGCACCCAGTCGTAGCCGATGTTCCACAAGAGTGGCCCTAACACCGACCCCTGCGGAACACCGCACGACATTTCACGCCTACCGAGACCGGTTCTACTGGGGTAGACGACGGCTCTCTCCGACAAATATGCCCCGACTATGCGGCGGAGGTAGAGAGGCACTTCGTGATACACGAGCGCCTCCCTGATGCAGCTCCAGGGCATAGTGTTGAACGCGTTGGCGATGTCCAAGGACACCGCCAACACCACATCGCCTCGGGAGACTGCTTCCTCCGCCAGAGCCTTCACGCGCATGATCGCTTCCACGGTGGAGCGCCCCTGACGGAAACCGTACTGGTTGTCCGCCAGATCCGGCCCAACCATCACGAGATGCTTGACGAGGCGCCTTGCAATCACTCTTTCAAAGAGCTTGCACACCTCGTCAAGCAACACTATGGGCCGGTAGGCAGACGGTGAGTCCGCCGGGCGCCCCTCCTTTCGGATGAGGACCAGTTTCCCCGTCCTTCACAATTTCGGAAACTGGCCCCGCTCTAGGCATGCGCTGAAGAACCCTCGCAGTCGGGGCTCGAGAGCCTCGTCGACTAAGGCCAGGACGCACGCTCGGCCAGGAATGCCATCGGGTCCCGGGGCGGTGTTTTTGGCTTTAAGCCGTAACACCGCCACCCTTAGTTCCACCCCAGTGACCTCAGGCACGTCGTCGTCATCCACGTTAGGCGCCTCAAGCGCCGGAGGCGGAGCCATCTGTGGCGGAGTATGCTCCACCACTCGCGTTGGGAACAGGGAGCCAACGACCCTCTCAAGCAGCTCTGGCTGAAGACACCGTGTGAGCGGCGGGGCCCATGGGCGCATCTTGCCCCTAACCATACGGTAGGGGCGTCCCCACGGATCCCGCTCCAGTGTCTCCAGCATCTCGCGGCGGGCCTCGCTCTTGACCCGCTTTATCGCTGCCTGAAGGGTCCTCTTGGCAACCCTGTAACCCGCTAACAGCTCCGCCTCTCTCGCTGCCGCATCTTCGGGGCGGCGACGCCTCCTGCGGAACCTGGACCACTGGCGGCGCGCGGTCACGCAGGCTTGACGCAGCCGTGCGATCTCCGGCGACCACCAGTAGACCCGGCGCCTTGCAGTATTGGGCTGAGCCTTAGGCATCGCCGCATCGCAGACGCGGGTCATGGCCTCCCGGAACCACTGTGCCTCAGCATCGACGTCGACAGGCCTGTCCGGCGCAGGAGCCCAGGCCTGTACGATGGCGGCTTCCAGGAGGAGGTCGCGATCTAAGCGCTTGAGCGCCCAACGTGGTTCAGGTGGTGCCGGTCTGACCGGCGCGCCATCTGCAGGGGCGGAGACGTCAAACCGAATATATCGGTGATCCGAACCTGTCTCCTCCCCGACAACGACGCGCCAGCCTTGGACACGACGCGCTAGCGAGGGGCATGCGAACGAGATGTCCACGATCGAACTACCCC